CGCCGCAGCTTCCCTGAAGCGCCCGTTTCTCCCCCACCCCCACCCCGTCCGCCCGCCCGCCCGCAGTGCTCCGTTCTGCCTGCCTGCCTGCCTTCGTTAATGGTTGAATCGGAACAGCTTCGGCTGAGTAAAAGAGGCGAATAGTTATTATTCTCAGCCGAAGCTGCTCCCAAACAACCAGAAACTAAGGCAGGCAGGCAGGCAGGCAGAATGGGACACTGTGGATTGAAGCGCGCGCGCGGGGTGGGAGTGGGGGTGAAACGGGCGCTTCGGAATAGCTGCGGCGACAGGAAAAGCCCCCCCCCCACTTCTTTGAAGCAGTTTCTTCCTTGGATGGTGGAGCAGCGAGAGAGCGAAGCCTCCTTCTCTTCTCTTCCCCCCCCCCCGGTCCTTGCAAAAATTTTCTGCTTGAAACCGGTCCCTGGTACAAAAAAGGTTGGGGACCACTGATTTACCTTATAAGTGGTAATAATATTAATAAAAAAAAAGTTCTGAGCTACCCTTATTTTGCTTCAACGTTTTTATTTAGAAATTTAATTTTTTTTCCTGAAATTTCCCTCTTAAAATGAAGATGCGTGTTATACGCCTGTGCGTGTTATACGCCGATAAATACGGTAATATTATATCCAGCTGAAAAGTCATGTGGAGCAAATGGTTGCTTTTTTGTAGAAAAATCAGATACTCTACTTCTGAGACACATGAATTCCTGATTTGAATTCTAAAGCATAATAATAGTATAATAGTATGATGATCAATATCTTGTACTGCATTATGTTTAAATATTGTCAAAAACAATATTGTATTGGAGATGTAATAAGGTGAAAGTTTCTTTAAAATACATATTAATACAGTGTCCTACAGTAATTACATTTTAGGAAACGTAATTAATGGAGTACATAAATATAAGTACATAAATATAATCGTGTGAAGATACTGAATATTTTCAAATGATAATATTCTTTCAAACTACATATGTTATGGTAGTACTTAGAATATGACAGCCAGACAATGTAAATAGATTCTTTGTGCCTTGGGCAAAAGATTGATATTACAGCATTGGAAAGATAATGGCTCTTTTTACTTAATTGATTTGAAGACCTGATTGCCCTTGTCACCTATGAGCGGATTGCCTATAGATGTAGACTTTGTGTGGACAAATATAATGAAATATAGGACTCATTGGTCTGTAGGGGGCGTGCATAAGCGCACCAACGTGCCTACCGTCCCTGTCCTATTGTTTCTCCTATTCTTTTATTTTTCTTATATGTAACCATTTCATGTATTCACAACTATGTATACATTTATACTTATTATCTTGTAAACAATTGACAAATCAAATAAATAAATAAAATAAATTAAAAATGACAGTGGTGCAGTGGTTAGAGTGCAGTACTGCAACCTACTTCTGCTGCAGCCAGCTGCCTGAAATTTGGCAGATTGAATCTCACCGGGCTCAAGGTTGACTCAGTCTTCCATCCTTCCGAGGTGGGTAAAATGAGGACCCAAATTGTTGGGGGAAATAAGCGGTATATAAGTCTAAGTGCCATTGCTATAGTTATATAAATATTCACACATCTATCTATATATGGTGGCAGCATAGTGGCTAGAATGCAGTATTACAGGCTGACTTTGCCCAGTACCAGGAGTCCGATCCTGACCAGCTCAAGGTTGACTCTGCCTTCCATTCTTTTGAGCTCAGCAAAAATGAGGACCCAGACTGTAGGGGGCAATATGCTGACTTTGTAAACTGCCCAGAGAGGGCTATAAAGCACCATGGGTCAGTATACAGGTCTAAGTGTTATTGTTCTTCTCTCTCTTTCCCTTTCTCTCAGTAATAAGCGCATAGAGGTATAATAATTACCTAGAGGTGACTCTAGGTGGCTTACAATCAACAAATATCAACATAAAACGTTAAACAAATAATAACACTACATTTTGTTTAAAATTGTTAAAGGAAGGGAGAAAAATGCACACAGGAGGGAGGGAGGGTCTTATCTTAGTCTATTAACTACTTCCACAATAACATGTTCTTCTTGGAGCCCAGGCCAGTTGGCAAATCCAGGTCTTCAGGTCCTGGATTTCAGAAGGCCAAAGGGGTGGCTGTGGACACAATGTCCACCTTGGGGGACACAATGGTTCAGAGGACAGGATCCATAGCAGAAAAGACTCTTCTCTTAGAACCTGTGAGCTGGAATTCCTTTACCAATGGGGTCTACAGCATGTCCTTCTGTGGATCCCATCACCCAACTACCAAGAGTGACTTTCTGAGAAAAGTTGTGCCCTCTTTAAATGATATGGTGGTTGGCATTTAGGAGAGAGTATTGAAATGTTGAAAATAAGCAATGAAGGATTATGATTCAATATGTGTATTAAGAGACATGATTGGTATTATTAAGCTTGATTATACGAAAATGTATGATATATTGATGCTACACTGTTTATATATTGTTGTTGTATTCGTAGATTGAAATAAAACTTGATTACAAAAAAAAAGTTGTGCCCTCCTGCTCTAAATAAATACCATTATTCAAAACTTGCACATAAATACTTTCATTGAGTTTCAACAATTCCCCCCCCCCCCCCATCTCTTGTGTTTTTAAAATAAAACACTGTCCGTAATGTAACCTGAAAACAAAGAAATTTGAATTTCACATATGGAGAAACTCTAACTTAAAATGTTTGTTTTGAGTGATGCAATTAGTGAATTATAAAGCCACATAATTTGATAAAACACAGTTGAACAATTCAGTTTAAATTAGAACACTCAAGATATGTTCCTGAGGTATAAAAGTTCAGACCATGATTTGTTTTAAATAATTGTGTGCGTGCGCACACAAAGTGCACCCGAACCGGTGGTAAAAATATTTGAAACACACCATTGCCCCAGTCCTTCTTTTAATTAAACTAGGCATACCCAATCCCTGCAACTGTTTTTCATATGTTTTAGCCTTGAGTCCCGCAATCATCATTGTTATATAGGGCCTAGAGTTCAAGTCTGTTGAGATGCTTCTGGATCTTGAGCTTATCTTCTAGGGTGCTGGCTATTCCTGCCAGTTTGGTATCATCTGCAAATTTAATGAATTTCCCTTCTATCCCCTCATATAAATCATATATGAAGATATTGAAGAGTACCTCAGGGTACCCCACTGCTTCCTTCCTTCCATGTAAATGTAGTTACATTAATGACTATATATGTTGAATGTGGTTTGTCAGCCAGTTACAAATCTATCTGGTGATGATTTATTTATTTATTTATTTTATTTGAGGAAATTATATTTCCACCTATTTGCACATGGCACTCATCTCTCATTTTTCTAACTTACTAAGAAGTGGGTTATGGTCTACTTTGTCTAATGCCTTACTGAAATCCAAGTATGTTATGTTCACAGCATTTTGCTTTTCCACTAATTTAGTCACTTTGTCAAATAATTAAATAAGATTTGTTTGGCTAGATCTGTTTTTAATAAACCCAGGTTGGTTTCTGGTAATAACTTTGCTTGCTTCTAGGTATTCACAGATCTGTTGTTTGATTTTCTTTTCCAGGATGTTCCCAAGTATTGTTAGGCTGATTGCTCTGTAGTTTCCTGGATCTGTTTTTTCTCCCCTTTTTTTGAAAATGGGAACCACATCAGCTCTTTTTCAATCCTCTGATAGTTCATCAAAACATTGTTTTATAAAAACAAGTGCCTTGAGGCATAAAACAATCTAGTATTATGTATACTAATAATCCATCATAGTATATTTTGACTGACATGGAAATACTTGAGAGAATGTATCAGTTAATATAATCACTGCACTGCAAAATGTAGCAATTTCATGTAGGATGAAAGAGAGTGTTCAACCCAGCAGTGCCATTGTTTGCAAGTCTTGTTTTACTCTGCCTTTTAAAATATTAATAATACAGAATAACTTAGAATAATACCGAACAATGATAAAATGTAGAAATTTGAAACTATTATTATACCTATATACCTTTTTCAAAATCATCATCATAGCATTAGTATTTCGTATATTATTATTAACATGCTCTGATGCTAAGGAGTTCTAATCCGCCTCCCCACCTGAAAAGAAATCTGCTCCACATGCAAAACGCAAGCAGAGGAGAGGACTTTTAGTTTTAGTTTCACAGTACCAAGCAGCTTTAGTACAGAAGGGTTGAGGCTAAGCCACGCCCAGGCTCCTTGCTGTCTCCTTGCTCACACAGCAATTACTGCTTCAGTTTCCAAACAGCCCTCAACTCTCTCACACCCTGACAGGACGTTAGCCAGATGAATACTGATGGATGCTGGTAGGCAGAGGCAAAATTTCCCCCCCTTAATTTCCTCCCCAAAAACTAAACCGACCACATAGTTTCGTAGTGAAGCATGGATATCAAGCTGATTCTTTATAAAATATGAAAAGGTGTAAGCACATGCAGTGCTTAAAGCCCAATTATCCTATAATGTAATTGCCTACTTTATCTCATTGTTAATTCACTGCCTAGCTAATTCATCAAAACAGGTTGCAGTAAAGCAATACAGCAAAAAAAGCTGTTTTCCTTTCTCATCTTGACTTCTTTTTTCTCTCATTGATATCAACCAAGCTGAGAATTGATACTTTAGAGCCTGACTCCAGGTAGGTGTTAATTAAAGTAATGTAACTACCAGTTCATTCTCTGCCAAGGAATATGCTCTTGGAAAAAACATGCTGATTTTGAAAAGGAAATGAAACGGATCTATCAAGCTATGCAAAACAGATTAAAATGTCTTTGTTGTTAATATTTTTGCCAGGCAGTCTTCACTGCAACAATATTGCAAATAAATTTTGGGATCATGCTGTTCAAATCACATATATGTTACCTGCCAGAGTGGGTCGTTCTGTTCTGGAAAGAGCTCAAAATATTTGTGAGCCAGCTGAATTGGACGTAGTGTTTGAAGCTTCAGGTTGGTCCAGCTTTGAACAAAACTGGCCAGATTGGCAAATGTATATAACCCTAGTCGGTCATTCCCATAGTTAGACAAGTGGGTCATGAAGATACTGATCTGAAAATAAACACACAAATGTTAGTGACTTGTAATAGCAGGAGGATTTCACTGGGTGGCATAAAGTATATTTCAAATCTGCATATGTTGCTTGTTTATAATGGGCTCTACTAGCAATTTACTTCAATTGCTGTTCAATTGTATTGAAATAACAAAAGAAAATAGCAATTAATAGGACATCTTTGTATGTTGGCACATGTGGCTTGGATCACCAGAAATCTTCTTTTACCCCCATCTCTACCCCTGAAAATCGCTTGCATTTTCTAAATTTCTTAGCCTGAATTTTTAAACTGCTCCCATAATTGAATGTTACGGTCAATCCATACAGTAGCTGCAATGTAATTCTGATGCATTCACTTTTCATACTTTTGATGGTTATGATACCTGTGAGGTAATAGAAACAGAATTTGTTTACACTTCTGAAAAATATAATTTGTCTTCAGAAATATTTCCCTTTGTTTACATCTATTTTTAAAATTCAGTTTGGCCCTAAAGTGAAGGTCTGTTTCATTTTCTCAAAGTTGATCTACTCTTTTAAAAAATCATAGTAACTTATAAGGAGTCTTCCAGATTTCCTTGTATGATACACAAACTTTTGTTTGAAGAAAATACGTTTTCTTCTATCTTTTCAGCAATGTTATTTTATTCCCTTTTGAATGATTATGACTTTTCAGAAAATGATAGATTCAAATCTGAAGAGTATAATGGAAAATAACTTTTTATAAAGGCAAAGTCACTACTTCATTAAGAGATAGCCCTTATCTAATCTAAGAATTTACTGTAAGATTAATCAAAATTAGGGTATGTATTGGAAATAAACAATTGCTCGTGAATAGAGCAGGATCTAATTATAAGACTCTGCTTTGTTTCATTCACTTCTATTTAAACAAAAAATGCCTTTTAATGGAAATGTAAATTAATGCCAGTACTGCAATTACAGGAAAATTGCAATTTAAAAAAATGTAGCAATTAAGACATCATTTGGAAACTCCTATATAGAAGGAAAGTTATTGTGGGAACCATTTCTTCTTGTCAAATATAGGAAGCATAAGGAATTCTCTGCAGTAAAACAACATTTTACCTCAGTGTACTAATTGAGTCTCAACATGGAAAATAAAGGAACATCTATTTCTCCACGTATTCAACATTTATGAGGAAGAACAATTCTGTTTGTACCAATGTGTCCACAACAGTCATCTTTCCCAGTTTACAAATAACTGTACTTAAAGATATTCTGCTGATGATTAGGAAAAGAAAATCTCACTATGATTTATATGAATGGGCAAGCTCTTTCCTTTTTAAAAAACAATTAACTGAAGTTTAGGAAATTTCTCAGAATGGAGAAGTATGGATTTCATGGACTTATCTTTATCTATCACATTGATTGATTGTGCTTGAGTTATCTTTGATAGCATTGCATTCATGCGCATAACTAAGTTCTGTATAAGAACATTTGCTCAATTGATACAGATCTTACTCAGCATGATTACATCTGGATGATTTAAGGAAACCTATAAATAAGATAACTACAATACTATTCCTTAGCAAGAAATGACTCTGAATACGAAGATATACAAATGCATTTTAAAGGAAGCAGTATATGTATCTGCCTGACCTTTTCATATATGTAAATTTATAAACTTCTGTTTCTTCAGAGATGCAATTGTATCTATTCTCCGCTCTTTCTTTTACCACTGAATAATATTTTGGTGATTCAAGTATTTAGCATTAATGATTCAAATGGAAAAAATCACTTTCTGTTGTGTTAACATTATAAACAGCCTTCCTCTGTAGTGCACATCCAGGAGATATGAGAAAGACTCATTGTCTATACATATAGAGCTATCCGAAGCCTGATTGTTAAGTTCTACAGTAGGAATTAGGTTATTGTGTGTAATTGTGGAGGGATTTGAATAAAAAAAATAGACCACTCATGTGTTTCTTTTCAAGAAGGTGGGGATATTCATTAATACATTTTCCTAGTTCTACCAATGTTAGCAAGAAGAGAGTCACAGGGCTTTAATAAAATTTCTATGTGCTACGTTTTTGATGATATGTAGTTTGAGTGTGCAGTGGCTCAGAAGGCATAACATATGAGGACACAACTGATTACATCTCTTGAGCTCCTTGAAACAAATATTTTTTATGCTGTGTACCTGAACAGAGTAACCTGTGTGCATTACACGTTAAAGACAAAAGACGTGGCTGTTTTAAGGAGTCTACTTTGATGTCTTCTTGTATTGAAGTCCATGTCTGCTTTTGAATTGAATTGCATGGCTCTGATGCATAGCTTTGCTTTAAGTGTTTCTTGGATGGAAAGCTAAATTGAAGTCTGGCAAACCTGCCATAATTTAAGAGTTGCATTTACACCATCCTCTTCTGATTTCTACAATCACCACAAGATAGAAGCCATGTGCTTTCCATTTTCACTCCCACACTTCCTGCCAATGTGCCACTTCTTTAACAGTGGGTTTAATAGTGTTTAAAAACATGTCCATCAGTTTGCTAAATTATTTATAAAGCTTTTAGTACATCCATATGGTGAAGATGGAAGGAACTTAAGAGGAATTTCCCTCATGACCTATCCTTAGCTCTATTCGTGCTGAATGCACTTTATTTTATAAAAGGTCATTCATCTTCTTTCTTTCACCCTCTTATGAGCAATGTTTAATGAGTTTTTAGTCTTTTTTTTTTAATCAGTTTGCTGAAACATTAAGACTTGGTGTGAATTCATTTGAAAAAAATAGCAGTATCATGACTGTCCATGAAATCACCTTAGGATCATTTTTGTTCTAGCTCTTTATAAGTAAAGTCAGTAGAAGAAAATTATAATAATTTTAAAATGTATTTTAGAATTTGTCAAGGAAATAGGTGGTAGATACTTTTTTACTTTTTAGATAACTTTTCTTTTTAAAGGTGGCAACAGCCGCTGCATGTGTTTGTAGATGGCATTCTGAAGTGTTGTGCAGAGAGGTTTTTGAAGAATCTGGATTGTAGAGATTGGTATGTGGAAGTGGAAGAGTGTGGCAAGAAAGGGACAAGTTTGATAAACTAACTGTGAGGCTGGAATTTGTTGAAGAAACAGAGAGGGGAAGAAACTGATAGGTCAACAGCTGGTAGAGTGGAGTGGTCGGAAAGTGATAGTTGGAAGATAATGGACACTGCAAATAGAGCCGAGCTGGGTGTCTTGGAGTGAGGAGTGCTGGAGGAGTAATACCTCCTTAAAAAACCTTGGCTCAGCTGGCCCAGCTGGTAACACCTCATAAGGGTCCCTTTCCAGGTTTACAGGAGAAGATGGTCAACAGTTTTGAAGGTGGAAGAGGGCTTTATGCCCCAACGGCAGATAAATTGGTAGAACCATCTTCTAGGAGAAGGGAAACTCTGATTTCAAACCTCCACTGCCTTGTGGTTATATCTATTATTGGAAAAGGTTTCAGGAGTCAACCTCGAGGCAAAATCCAGAGCCGGAGTCCCGGAAGCAGTTCGTGACTGTGTACAATCAAGTTCTGGTAACTCCTGCGATGCAGCTGGAACTAATCGTATCGGCTCTGCCATTCCATTAGACTGTTTAAATGATGTGGAGAGGGGGGGGATCTGCTGCTTGGGTAATAATTTACCCTCCATATTAAATTACCCAGGCGTCAGCTTTGGGTACAGCATTGAAACAACATGAGAAGTGACAGTTACCGGTTTCCTAGCACAATTCCATAGTCTCTTGAGACTGAAGGATGCCAATTCAATTCAATTCACTTTTTAACATGGGATTTATTTAACCAATTTTTAATATTTAATCTTACAGAAATAGATGTTAGAATCTAAAAAGACCAAAAAGATAAGAAAAATTTTGTATTGAAAATTTTATAAGATCGATAAACTAATTATGTTACTATTTTGTGATTAATATTGAAATGTCTATTATGATTACTATTATGATTAACGTTGTATCTCTATTTAAAACTGACTGTGCCCAGATAACGCGCTGGAACAGATACGGAATCTTTTATATGTATAAAAATGTATTAATAAAACATATACGAAAAAAAATAATTAAATATTTTATTTATTTTCTAACTGACATATTTTTGTTTTATAAACAAAACTCAAAACATACATATAACTTTTATATTTCTTCCGATTATCTCACAACAATGTTTAGTTAGTCATATTTCAACACACTTTCAGGATATGTTGCCACGGCACTTTTTATAGAACTCTAAAATTAATCATAATTGCAATACTTACAATATTTACATGAGCTATGGTACTGCATTTGCTAGAATGTTAATTCTGCCGGCCACCAGCAGTTGGATTCTCACTGGCTCAAGGTTGACTCAGTTGTCCATCCTTCCAGGATCAGTAAAACGAGGACCCAGTTTGTTGGGGGCAATATGCTGAGTTTCTATACTGCTTAGAGAGAGCTGTAAAGCACTGTGAAGCAGTATATAAGTCTAAGTGCTATTGCTATTTCCTGTTAGTATTTCCTTTCTTTTTCATATGTGCTTCCTTGATTTAAGGATAATACTTCCTGCTGAGTATTATCTGAACTTTCTCTGTGTCTCCATTGTATATTCTAATTTATTGGGCTTCAGGACAAGACAGTGCAGACAGTTAGAGTTTAGTATTTGGACAGTGGCTCCTTCCTGCCAAGTTTTTAAGGAGTATTTCTGGCCATCAGACCTTAACAAAGATAGTAGCAGAAATCAGTAATTAAATAGTGATGAAACTATCCATAGTTCAACTAGAAGCCCATCTGTATCTCAAGAGTTACTGGGGCTCCTCTTACAAATATAAAGGCAATGTTTGGTAAAGTTATCTAATATTAATTCATTCAAAAGAACTGTAGGAAAAACTTTTAAATATGTAGAATTTATGGCTCTTTATAGTTCACCTTGTTTTTGTGGAAACAACATAAAATCAAAGGATCATAGTTAGGGGTAATGTGAACCATCAAATCCAATTTCCTGTTCTAAACTTGAATAAATCCAATAGGATGT